CCTTTTGACTATACCCCATACGGATGAAGACAATAAACACTAAATCAATGTCTATTGCATAGTTATTGTTCTTCCTCATTTCAGTGTGTTTATTGTGTCCGTCTTTCTGTTAATCGTTATCTTGTTGTTGACATATTATAAATACTGATGATATCAATTATTTGTGTAATCAAGAAGAGACGCCCAATCATGACATCAAAAAACCAAGAGAACTTGGAGCAAATTTTGCAAAAGTCAAGACTAGGTAGATCGTGAATATTCTCGATGTTCTGAGTAACAGCTTCCTTGTGTTTAGCTGTCAAATTATAATATGAACGATATATTATAGTTATAATAGCTGCAAGTATATTAATAGCGTATAATGGTTTACATAACTGTTGAGTCATTTTTTATATACACAGTGCAAACGTACGATTTGTCTGTAGGACGCTTATTAAATCGCGGTAACCATAAAAGGTAATGGAGATGATAGACCAGGTGCTGTTATTATTATGGGATTACCTCTATATAAAAAATATCAATATGAAACTAATCTACAGTGAACCCTCCATATAAGCACGCCTAAGGAATGAGCCAGAGCATGCGGATGCATGTATGATTGGGGTTATTCTGTGAACAAGGATGATGGTCCTCAGCATTTTGCAGGTGGCTTGGAATGTAGTGCAGATGATGTTCTGCAAGCCATTAATGAAGGTAAGTCTTTTGTATATAAGCCTCAATTTGATCTAATCAGCTTTGTCAGGACATTTTATATGTCTCTATATGGAACCAGTGGTGTTAAGATATTAGACTTTGGAAGAGTGAAAGAAGGATCATGTGGAGTCTGTTATTTCTTATTGGGCAGAACACTGCAGTAGTAACATATGGAGAGCTATAATTTCATGTGCAAGTGCCTGTAATTACTCTCAGTTAACGTCAAAGTTAACAAGCCTCTTTTGAACATGATTTAATAAACATCTACACTAATGCTAACACTTTTCCTTTGTAAAAGCAGTGGTTTCTTCTGTTATGTTCACATTGTGCATTATATGTAATAATGTTACGGACAAGCCGCACCGATGAATTGGCAGTCCGCAGTCTGCAGCCCATGATCGATTTAATTTTAGTAGTAACACCAGAAATTTTATTGCTGATCTAAATACAAATTAGTCATGACGCGAGGAATGTTGAATGTTGAAACGTTGTTCTAATATTGTTGTTATCCTTATATTCCACGGAATTGTTCTTATCCACGGAATAAATAAACAAATTTAATTCCTTTTCTATCGTTGATCGTCGAATTTATCGTAATTATTAAACAACGGACAATACTTGTTGCCTACAGTATTTCGAGACTGTTGTGGTGATAAGATTGAGTAGCGGGTGAAGAACTAGTGAAAGTTTGTCTGTTCAGTTAGTAAAGCAAGTGGATCACCAGCACTTGCTCAGCAATTATTGCGACATCGCTTGAAAGCGTACAGTAATTGGATAATATTTGGCGAACGACATTTATTTTTCTTATTCGTTTAATTAGTTATAAAATTAAAAAAAGCATCGCCCTGTTTATTAATGGATATTTCCCCTTCGATTCTATAGAATAATATAGTCGTTAATATTATTCGCAGATTCCCTTACTTGGATACGAACATTGGACTACGTTACGTATTAGGATTAGGAAGCGCGCATAATTACTTAATAAGAAACGTCACTGTAGCTTAGCATTCAGTCTTAGTTAATACTGTCGCTGCAGTAAGGGCAGCGATAGCTGAGCTAATTGAGTCAGATCCCCCTGTCGGCCGGACCGCTTACAGTTCGTCCATAAAATTTCCCTAATTAAATACGCCGCAACAATTTGTTCTTTCAATCTTGTTTGCAGGTGTTTCATTAAAACGAAAATACGAATCTACCAATACTAACTATATCTACTAGTCAAGTGAAGTTTCCCACCAAAAGTATCCGCTTTTTTTTTCTCGAGTAGACAGAAACCGTAGTTTTCAAAAATCATAGGGTCAACTTTTAGCTTTACACATTACATTTTATACAAAATGCCCAAGTCTCGTGAACTTGCCGTTTTTGAACGCGGAATGATCGTTGGTAAACACAGCGCTACAGATATTCAAAAAATGCTCGGAATGCCCAGAGCTACTTGCATTGATGTCATAAACAAATTCGAAAACGAGGGGCTCACTGACCCTCTTCCTCGTTCGGGTAGACCACCTCTTTTGACTGAGTGTGAAGCGCGAACTCTTGTGCGAGTAACTAAAGAAAATAGGCTTGAAGAAATTGTCGAATTCAATACTTACCCAGGTTAGTAATAGTACCACTAGACGTGTACTTATAACAAAGACTTTTTTGGTCGTATTGGAAAAGAGAAAACCCTTTGTTTCTAAAGCAATAGAGTAAAGCGCTTAAAATGGTGTCGCGAACGTAGAGGCTGGAATAATATTTCTCAGGAATGCAGTCCACAATAGTCTCTTAAAGGAACTCTTTGCCAGCATCTCGGTCAGCCATGTTTACACAGAATCGGCGAGACTTCATTTTATTACTAATTTCCAAAGACACAGTATGTTCTATTACTGTTCTTGTTCTTTATTATTATGAGTTTCTCAACTTGAGTATTTTTTTTTTATTATACTGCTACTACATGTTTTAAACATATCTTGTGACTATTCCGTTATCCCATATCTACGGCGGGACTACAGCTTTTCTTCGAAAACCGATAATATATATTTTAATCGTGACGAAACATTATTTAACATTTATGAAGCGTTGCCGGGTTTCCCAGGAAACAAAAACTACATGTATAAAAAAGCTAAACCATATGATGCAAGTTAGATGTAATTAATCCGTCTTATCTGTTATTTCACGTCAATTTCGCGCCAACTGAGGTAGACCAACCAAATGTTTACCGAATCTACGCAATACTTCGCATTTATTATCGAGTCGCAATTTCGAGTGTCCGTCTGATGAATGAATCCCATAGATTAAAAGTTTTCTCTACATCATGTTGCTTTTCCTCAGGTTCTACAGAAGCAGCATGCATTTCATTAGTAGGTTCTTCATTGCCAGTGTCTTCGTTCGATCCAAATAGATCTTGTATTATTTCTTTGGTTGATGGCTCTGTCGATTGTGTATATGCTGGTGGTGGGGCTTCCTTGCACAAGAGCTGGAAGAGATGAATGATTAGTGAAAGAAAAAAAACAGCAAACAAACCGAACAGGGCAACATAGCAATTCGAACTTACCTTTGTTTGTAATATAGTGGTATTTGTCTCCTGCTGTTGGCTTACTCTTGTCTCTAATAGTAAACCAGAATACTCGTACCGGCTTACAGACGACAACGATATATTGTCGAGTGTATATCGAACTGATGTTTTTACAGTCTCGTCTCCAGGAGGCATTTCGAATTGAAATTCGCGGGGACATTCAAAGTGCTTCCTTCCATCACTATAAAAATCATCTTTAGTGCATCAATAGATGGGCCGCGTTGCGATGCCTCTTTGAACTATTTTTGATAAGGCTGACCTGCTGAGAGAACATCTATCAATAAATTTCTCTGCTCCTTTGGCAGAAAATAAATCAAGTGAACTGGTTGCCATTATTCTGAAATCTGCTGGTCTGTCCATCATCATAAAATCAACGATGAGTCGTCTTTTACAGCCCAACACTTTCTGAAGTTCAATTCTGTTGTCTTTGTGAATTTTGAATTTGAGATTTAAATGTACAGGTTGATTTTCTGACACAGGTTCGTCCGCGCTCACTACATATTCAACGTCAACACATTCTTCTGATTCTGACACTGGCCAGAGTCCTTCAACAAGGCCATAAAATGGGTAGCTAAGAATAGTAAATTTAAGTCACGCGTCATCTATCGATACGAATTCAGGCCTTTCATATATTCACCTTGGAAGAAATGCTTGGGTGTAATTCGACGGATGGACCAATTTTCGCAACTCACTTTGACTGAATTTTCCAGATTCAGCTGGAGAAAGGAGATATTTGTCAGATAGAGTATTATTATGGTGAAACATTATATGACCAAACCTACATCATTAATACAATATATCAATTAAATTAATCATAAATAAGTGTCATGGCAGTAGTAACTCCATGTCTCACAGATCATAAAGTAGAATTGAGTAGAAACCTTACAGAGCGTACAGGTCAACTTTTGTATTTGGAGATTCATCTTCAATGTATTTGCGCAAATGCTTGCCCACTGCCTGAAATTTGGTATCAACAAATCTATCCAATATTCCTGAATTTTCTATGCTAATCAACAGGCAAGTTTTATTGTTAGTCAGTAAACTTGACTAATTCAATTCGAATATTCTATAGTTACCTTTTACTCGCATTTAATACCGAAAGCGGGTCAGCAATTGTAGGTTTGGTGAGCAAGTCCTTGGTTCCCTATGATTCCATCGTGAATTACAGGTTGTTAATATGACGATCACCATATAGAATGGTGCCATAAATCTCCGCTCTATCAACCTTTTCCAGTACTCTCCCTATCCGATACCATGTAGAGTCCTTCCAATACATTGACATTGCTTTCAGATCATATATAGGGAAAAATGCGTATTGTTGTGCAGCAACATCCAAGCTATTACACAGTGTCAAATGATTCTCGTTAACGTCAGGCTGTTCAAAAGATAAGATTAGACTTGTAAAGTAAGTCAATAACATCAAGTCAAGTCACAAACCACCTTGTACCTTTGACCATGCTTTATCGAGCAATCTCATGGCCTCTTTGATATTGTCCTCGCTCTGACCATATATCACCAACTGAAATAGAATAAAATATGAGCATCATTAGAAGACTTGTAAACGCGTAACTATGGGCAGAGACGGTAAAAAAAATTAAAAATATTTGTCTATTTTATTTATTTTTTATTTCTACCTTATTTCCAATGGTCTCGATGAATGTGCCAGCCATTCGACAGACATTGACAATGTATGGCATAATTTCATTCAACGATCTATCGTCAACGATTATATGTGGAGCGGGATCTATTATTCTGGAAGTACAAGTCTGTATCGAGAAGAAATTAGCAGACGAAATGACTAGCAAGCCAGTTAACAAAATATGCAAATACCGTTGCATTCTTTATCATCTCTTTCGCTGTTGTCACATCCGATCGTTTGCCAATTAAAGCATATGACTCTCTCTCCAAATTAATGCGTATATTGACACCAGTAGATGACTCTATGGTTTGCAATGTCTCACCGTCTGTAACGTTAAAGTAGTTTGTGGATACTCTTCTCAAGATGTGATGTAAAGTTAGCATTATTTTTTTTTTAAAAAAAACCACCCACCTGGACCAATTAAAAAATACAAAGTACTTCTATCCGCTTGCACAGCTACAGCATAAGAAATTCCATAAGCTATCCGTATTTATATTCACTAACAGCAATCGTATCATATCAAGAACAATACGTGTTTATATTACTCTCTCTCAGAATCTTATTCCAATATTCATTTGGATATGATTCAGTTATGTTCCACACATCACGAATGATTGTCTTAATTATCGCATCTTTGTTGGGTGGTACTTTGACATTGCGTTGTTTCAGATAGTCGCGTAACTGTTCTGCGAGGAAACCTCCAGCGATCTTATTTACAAGTTCTTGGTAGGCTCGATAATTAATCTCAGATACAGCAGGTTTAAAGTTGTCTAAATCGGCGGCTGTAACTTTAATGTCGGTTCGAGGTTCGCGGCCCATTAGTAGCTCGTGACCCAAAGTCGAGTGATGACGAACTGTTAGAAGTTCTTGAATTAGAGAAGACGAGCTATCGCTTACATGCTCGGGGGGAAGAAGTTCTACTTTACGACGCCCTTTTTTTGAACTGGGTTTCTTTTTCGAAGATTTTTTTTTTTTGGACCGTCTGTTCTCTTTATCGTCAATTTCTACAACGGGATCCTGGATAGAGTCTGTGACGCTGAGAGTATCCGAGTAAAGGCGGACAGGTAATTGATTAAAGACAGAAAGCGGTTTTGGTCGAGGATGGCCCACAGAAATGATCTGTGCTGAATGCAGTAGATGACGTGTTAGATGAACAACATTTCGTGAAAAAGGCGAGGCGCGGTTCATCATTTGCGTTAAATTGTAAGGAAAGAGATCTGATCGAAGGGTGATCCGCACAAAATTTTTTGGATTGGGGCGTGACTTTTTGATTGGAATAATTGTTTGCTGATTCATTGTATGCCATATGCTGCATAAGAAGTTATGAAAGTCAATGATCTTTACGCATAGATTCACTTTACAGGAATATGAATAAAAGAATGGGGGGTTGTCTAATAAGATCTGTATCGTAATAGTCTCATATCCGACGAAAGTCAACCGCATAGAATAAACTCTAGATGAACGCATACCTAATAGTGTTGCATTTATATATAGCTTATCTATCCATTTGACCATTAACTTACCGTACAGCACATACTCTATTATAATTGATGTGCTACTTACGTTGATCATAAATTATGCATACTTATACTTAATCATACAGGTAATGTTGAGGAAAAAAGGCGGCTCTTAGTAAAGCATATATTTAATGCTTTCAAATATTTAAACAGTTTGCGGTTTTCTTTCCGAACAAATTTTGTCTCGCAAGCAATAACATTTCCTCTCTTGTAATGTATATAAAACTAGTGTCTCCAAATGCTTTCTATTGTCGAGCAATAACTATTTTCTTCGTCTTCCTCTTCCTCGTCTTCCTAGTGCTCCCTTTTATTCTCAAAACATCGACAATGGCTGTCAATAGCACTTTAACGCCACCAATTAGAAATGATATTTGCGCAAATCCAGGGTGTTGCGGCCAGGACTGTTCTTACCAGGGACTTTACGAGTAAGACATGTTTATCTCTCAATTGAATTGCCATTACCATAGTATTCAAAGGCCGTCCTGACTATTCTTGTAGGCTAATTTATGACATAGACGTATCAGACCCTAAAGCACTTAGTGATGTTCTTGCTAGTCTCTTCGCACCAGCCTTAAACAAGCAAGTCACTTCAAAAACCGAAGTTAGCAAATTAACTTATGCATGGTAGAATGAAACTAAATATACATTTTTACGTCCTTTTTGTTCTCCAGATAATAATTCTCTCATTTTCATATAGGTATTCGGCAAACTCGGCTATCTTCAGAGATAATCCTCAATGTGTCAAAGAATTCATGTTGGCTTGGATATGTGACAAGTATGATACATGCACCTCAGTTGAGCCGCTGAAGACATTGCTCGATAAACTTCCTGGTCTTTTTGCAAATCTTTTACCCGATGATATTGTCACAGCATGGACTGTCAAGAAAGCGCTTCAAGAGGCAATGAAAATGGATGCCTCGGTTGCAGAGAGCTTAATTGCGTCGGCAGCAGAACTTGTGAGATTGAGCGACGTCGATTTTCTCTATGATATTGGTAAATGCTAGGGCTTCTTTACATAATAACGTCCATTACAATTACATTGAGCTGTCTCCAAATGACGTCTTTGAGACCGATGGTATACTTGCTTCGGGAACGCACATTAGAGGAACGCCAACTTGTAGTTATAACCTTATGAACCTCTATGCCTGATAATTTGTAATAAGTTTTGTCACGAAATATACTGTATAATGTTCAAAGACTTTCACCTGAGGAAGGTGTTAATTTATTAACCAAATATTAATGCGAAATAAATTCTCTTAATCAATTAAAACTATTATCATATTAATATGGTGTTGCATTTAGAGAAATGCTCATAGAGATGGACTCAGAAAGCTTGCTTAAATTGTTCGCGTTCTATTCGTTAATGCTAATACTAACTTTTATAAGAAATTGTTGTCTGAAATTGGTTTCTCAACCACTTGCCTTCATTATTATGAACGGTTTAAAAATCCTAATTTTCTTCGGCTATTGCCCTATCCTACATCATTACCGATAACTATTGCTGACGATCTAGAGTATTAAAAAACGCATCTGAGTTCGTTGGTTGAACAAGAAATGGCAATAAAGTTCGTGACGACATTTAGTAGAGACTGACAACTTCGATCCGTTTTTTACCGATAAAAGTTTACTACATAAGCAAAGCACGATACCGCACTGACCATTACCCGTTTTCGTGACGTCTGCTGTAATTATTTATGTAGTACGAACATCACCCCCATTGATTTTGTATTATTTAGCTGTGTTCGGTCTTTCAATCATTTCTCCGCCTCCACCCCTTCGTTTTCTTCCTCTTCTTGCGGGATATGCCTGTCCCTCCCGAACTACCGACTCCGCCAAACCCTCAGCGGTATGCTGCGTCGATATCGACACCCACTTATCTTGATGAACCTCCATATCGAAGCGACACCGATACGAATACCGGCAATACAACTAATGAGAATCTGTCCGTATTCACGCATCACTTTGCCGAAACGGAACAATTACAGAGTGCGATAGAAATTGATGAAAGTGATATAGTGACTGATATAACAGAGGAAGAGGAAGAAGAAGAGGAAGAGGAGTGTGATGAGCTGCAGGATGAAGAGGATCTTGCCGAGATGTTTAAGGTGTTTAAGGATGTATTGATTACTCTGGTTTTACCTCAAGTAGCTAAATATTTTGGAAGGAGATTTTCGTTCTGGGGTGAGTGTAATGAGGGATGATTGGGATTCAGGCAGAGAAACCATACATATATGTGTATTTGCGAGATGCGCGATCATGCTTACGGTTTTATTGAGCTCTATCATTACGTGTCGATGAAAAGACGTGTAATAGTTTTACTTAGTATTTCACTCTGTTTATAGCATGGACACGGTTCATAGAATGGTATTATCAGCCAAGTCTAGTGAGCGAGAGCGGAACAGAACGGTCAGCACGAGAACAGCGGTCAAATCAAACACGGACAGACAAATAGTTAATACGGTATCTTATAACTGCTCAAACATTGAAGACTTTATCATGTTTAATTGCTAATTCCATAAATGAATTATGAGAGTTGATAAAAGACATTACTTAGAGTCACAACCCCTCTATATATAAAATTAAGGCCAGCTGAATTGATCTCTAGCGTTGGGCAGACCACACACTGAATGAACAAAAACAGTGTTAGCACATTATCGAGTACATTTGGAATACTTCTCCTATCTCAATTCAATACTTACTTCTTCAGCACTGCAGGTTATTCGTTATCAGAATATCAAAATTTTCTTTCATTAGTCACTTTATTTCCAAAATGCGTAGACATACTTCAAAAACACATGTGTGACTTACGTCCGTCTTTTGTAGCCAAACGATTAATAGAATCGTCAGATTCTCCTTGGGAGCGAACATACCCACAAAGGGCATAAATAACAGCCTTACCAGGCTTTAAATGTCCCTCTTCGTCGACTTCACCAATATTAATTTGGACTGACGCATGGTCTTTCGCAGTTATAAGTCTGTTGGTTGCATCACTGTTGGACCGAATTTGAGAACGGCGAGTTTATGAATAAAATGCTTATCTTAAGCCGCTAACTAATCGTCATTCACAAGAATGCATGTATAACTATACCATTTTCTGGGCACGTAGAGGTCGACGACTACACCTTGATCGTTTTGCATTGCGACAATACAAACTTATTAGGAGGAAAGAAGAGAGGGAAAGGAGTCTACTGACGATTCACATAAAAATTTTCCCCGTTGTAATCTTCAATATGCAATTCCAATTGGTTGGAAAAATTCTAGTCAAAAATGTAGCCTGTATATAATGGGCAGTTCAAGTTACATGACACGAATAGTGCTCAATAAAACCTATACTTTCCAGCCAAGTGTTATTTTTATGTGTTGCAGATAAATTTAATTAATATCGCGAGGAACTTACATTCACAACGGAGTGTTTGCTAAAACCCCAGTTTAAGCTGTTTTAATTAACAAATGGCAAGGTTCCGGCAGACGTGAGGTTTGATTTTTTTTCTTCAATTCTAGGATGGACACGTTTCCAATAGTAATAGTCATGCGGTGAAGCTTAAGATCGTGAAAAAGGTGCACTCTAGTTTCGAGGGAGCTTAGTCAATATACGTGGAAATCTTATCCGCGAAAATGAGCGATTGATGACAATTTCTTTTCACATACAAAAATAGATGCTCGAACAATTAGTTTTCCGTTTCAGAGTAATTTAACTTACAACTTTATAAATAATAAGACGAAAGCAAATATCCTGTTCCCAATCACTTAACCAGTCTAATAGAAATAAACACTCAAACATCTATCTAAGAGAATAAATTTACAACCCCATCAAAGTATTGACAAACTTGTCAACCTTATCGACGTCTTGTCTACACATTTCAATGATCATCATTAATTTCTTGATGCCTATTGAAATCTTTTGATCTATTCCACTTATGCGTAATCTTTCTAAAGCTTCCCTTTTCTCATCTGGTGAGAATAATTGCGAATCATCCAACACGTGACTGACGGACTGAAGGTCTGTAATATTAGCAATGTATAACTCGGAATTGAAGCAATCCGACATATCCATGCTTTCAAGAACTGACTTTTCATTTGTAGTGGAGAGAATGAGTAATCGACGATCCTAAAACAGAGTTCAAGAGCGGAGGTGTAGGTAAAGAGTCCATCCTAACAGATTATTTGAGTAGCACAATGCAAAATGAATAATCATGGTTACCTTTGGCGGACGTTTCTTCAACAAAACCATCAACGTCTGTAATACTGCATTAGAAAATCTAGGCCCAATTGGAACCCAATCTGCAATAGAATTGTGGCATTAATTAATTCAACGGTAAACAACCTATCGACTACACTCATGTCATCATCAATCATATGCTCACCAAGTATTCGCTCGATGTTATCAACAACAATAATACTTAGAGGTGATTTGTAAGAATCGTTAAACACCTAATGATACATAATTATTGAATAATTAACAAAATTATGAATGCCCACAAACTCTGATTTATATTTGCTTAATCACTTACTTTGTTTATCGCACTTATCTTGGCAGATTCTGAGAAACCAACCATATTTTCAGGAGATATGAGCTTGATAAATGGAAATTCGGATGATAATGCTATTGAAGCAGCCAAGGCTGTCTTCCCACTTCCAGGAGGACCTAAACGCAAAATAGAGATCAAACATGAAACATAGAATTATCATCTCATTCAAAATGCTTAGCAATACTAACCATGTAGAAGAACGCTGACTACCGGCGTTTTGGTGCTGTTCCTTACTTGATCCACATATAACTTTCCGTCACCTAATATTAACTATCAACAGAACAGATGCCATTCAACATCCCTGTCCCCTGCTTTATAAACACTTCAATTGACATCCCTACCAACCTCGACTTTGGGAGAGTAATGAATAATTGGATTCTGCACGCATTGCTGCAGCTCCTCCTCACTAACACCAAATGCTGGTTGTACTTCATCCAGCGCTAGTAAGAAGTCATTCCTGTTCACTTTTATATTCTCAACATCAGGAGCGACTGCTGCCAGAGTACCCACTTTTACATGACGATTGAACGCAAAAGATGAAGCACTCTTGACAAGACCATTGATTTCGGCTCCACTGAAATTTTTGGTCAGACTCGCAAGTTCAGCAAAGTCAACGTCCGAGTCGAGAATGTTATTCTCACGCATCTGTCAACATGAGAATGCAGGAGAGGAAAGAAAACGAAAACGATCAGAATACGCATCAAGGAAGAAGGTAAAAAAAGTGTACTAGTATGCGAATAGTATACGTACACGTGCAGTATGTATCTTAAGGATTTGGAGACGTCCTTTCTCATCAGGCAGCCCTATCTCCATATGCACTTCAAGACGGCCTGCACAGCACCAATTGAACACATTAGACTTTTTTCTTCCTCGCAACGTACGAGACAAGAACTGATTATTGAATACCTGGTCGCAGCAAGGCCTCATCAATCAAATCCATGCGATTAGTCATACCGATGAGAAGGATATTGTTCAATTGCTCCACACCGTCCATCTAAACAGAACAAGCGGCTTATAAGATGACATTCCGTTAATATGTCAGTCAAACAAGTCCCGATCACAATGCGCACCTTAGCTAACAGCTGGTTGACAACAGTGTCAGCGACCCCAGTGGAATCACTCCTGGAGCCACGCTGTTTGCAAATCGCATCCAATTCATCGAAAATTATAATATGCAATCCTGAATCTTCTCCTTTGGCTTTATACTCCTTTTCTGCGTCACCAAACAGTTTTCGAACATTCTCCTCCGATTGACCGACATATTTACTCAAAACCTCGGGACCATTCACAATTTTGGGTTCGCGCGCATTCAACATCTTACCAATCTGTCTGGCCATCAGGGTTTTTCCTGTACCTGGTGGTCCATATAAAAGGATTCCTACAAGTATATGAACAAGTGTCGTTGTGAGATGACCCGGTTTGCCAAATTTATTGGGTTGTCATATCAATAAAGATAGTACCTTTGACGTGAGGGATACCAAGTTTTTCCACCAAAGTGGACGGGAAAATTCTAGATGCAAAGGCACGCCGAAATATGGCGCTAAATTCCGAATCCAATCCACCAATACCCATATCTTCAAACTTAAAGCTCGGCTGGATTATCTTGGGAGCTGTAGTACTGAAATCCACAATAATGAAATTTCAGCAAAATCATATTGGATGCAACATTAGTTATAAATAACAAGTGTACCTTCTTAATGATCCTTTCAATCTAATCAAAGAATTTGCAGCTTTCGACCAATGAATTTCGGTCTGGTGTGTCAAAATCCCACGAACAGTATCCTGACCCGTTTGCGAGGTGTCCATAACTTCTCCTTGAGTTTCTTTGTCGGGAACTTGCAAGTTGGTTGTCTCTACAGCTATCACCATGACCGATAGGGTATCACCCTCAAAGTCGAAGGCAAGAAGCTAGATATTTTGAAAGTTATATTAAAGAGACTTAAATATGCCGTTTGAGAGAATGCATCAGCGTCAATGCGATCACGCGTCTTACCTGTTCTTTTGAAAATATTTGTTCATTGAAATTCTAGAAATAAAGCAAAGATTGAGTCTTCTATTTAGCAGCGTACCAATCCATTCTCACTTTGTTTCACAAACCTGTAAGAAGACTTTCGACATTTGATCCGTATCGAAGACATGGTCATGCCTATCAGTCTGCTTCTTAAATAACTGAACCTCCAATTGTAGTCTATATAAGTAGCTGTTAGAATCCGGCACATATGCAACTACTGATACTTCTTGACTTAGCGAAAGTTTAGCCCAGCGACGTTGGAGCAATGTACAGCCGAGTTCGTCCTCCTTTCTAATAGCTGCATCGGGTCTGGTTTGAAGATTAAAGTGATTAAAGTGTAAAGATAGGAAAACTATAGATTGATCATCTTTTATAACTTATGATATTACTTTATGGTGAATATATATTGATGTGGGCGACCTTGGGCAACTTCATCGGAGTCGAGATGGGTTTTTGTCATAAGAATGTAACGTGTCGATGGATGGAAAACGTTCGGATTTACAAATACGTAATTTGTTAACGCCAATGATTCGTTCGGACATCTGCCGACTTTCATTATTCGAACTCTGGAATCGTCAGTCGGAATTGGATTGCCATATTGCGGGGGCTGGCCGTATTGCGGAGGCTGACCGTACTGCGGAGACTGACCATATTGTAGAGGCTGGCCATATTGCGGAGGCTGATTATATTGTGGAGGCTGGCCATATTGCGCTGATCCCGCCACTGGAGTATAGCCATATGGTGAACGCGAACTGGGATGGTTGTCCATTTTTTTCGGGATCAAGTTCTATCAATCTATACATACCCATTACATACTCTATTTAGACACGAATTTGTGTGACATCATATCATTGGTAAAACACGTGATAAATTTTATTGTGGTTCAAAATAAATATAACAAATAATTTATGTAGATTCTAATCCCATTCAATATCGTTCTCAATGCATAACTTTTTTGCATGAGGATGACCGGCCTTAGCGGCCAGTATCAGGTATGGTTTTCCTGCATCACGGTCAACACCAATTTCGTTGATTCTCCCTGACCAGTAAATTTGCCCAACATTGAACTGCGCCGCGGAATTCCCATTGTCGGCAGCTTTGCAGAGATAGTCAAATCCTAGTTTGACATCTCTGTGTGCACCATCCCCTTTCATAAGAGCTGCTCCGTAACGTAACTGACCGTCAGGATTGCCACCATCAGCGGCTTTTCGGAAGTGTTCTGCCGCTGCTTCCAAATTCACCTCCAGGTTACCAAGTCCGCGATAATTGTATAGGCCGCAATAGTAGTGTGCTTTAGGGGTGTCAATTTCTTGAAAGATTTTATATGCTATATCATAGCTTGCACTAGAATGAGCTTTGAGAGCATCTTCAATGCTTGGTCCAGTATTATCCCCGAGATCTAGTAATCCGTCTTCATCAATTAAGTCGGAAAGCTCATCAACACCAGCGGTTTTCTTCTTTTTATTCCCTCCCTGGAATTCTCTATATGCCGCTTCTAATTGCATGTAAATTTCAATTATAGTCGGACGTGAAAGTGGATCCGGAGCCCAGGCCTTTTTGATAATTTCTGCATATTTTTCTGGTGTGTCTTTAGGAATTGGGTCGCGCAGTCCTTCCATTATTTTCCTAATTGCGTCGAATTCTTTATCATTTTCGAAAGGAATTTTGCCAGACGCTATCTCCCAAAGGAGATAGCCAACGTTATAGACATCGGCGCGCTTGTTGAATCGAAGTCTTGGGTTCCTGGCTCTTTCTTGTGGGGTCCAGCTAATAATTTTAACAATAGAGTTACGTTAAGATTATGTTAAGCAATCAATCAGCAAGAGAAATGAAGAAAAGAATAAATGACATGAAGTTTGTAGCATCACTATGACTATGTAACTATTTTACAAATTCGAATAAATATTGATAATGCACTCACCGTATTTTGTTAACGCCTTGTCTTAGAGGTCGCGAAACTTCTGTTTCTGGCCTAGCAGAGTGGAAATTGGTAATCTTGGGAGTGTAGTGCTCCGCGAGAAGGATATTCTGTGCTCGAAGATCATGATGTAAGAGTCCAATTTCGTGCATAAAACAGACACCCTGTACAATGCCCAGCGCAATGGAATATCGCAGGGACCAATCCATGTTAGAGTGGTTAACCTGCATATGATCATAGAGATATCCTATGAACGCGGGATGTGAATAAATTAGATAACAAAAAACATCTATGCAATTATATAGCAAATATTATATTTACCATATTGAGCATGTTCCATGAGCAAATGTAGCCGTGTATCAATCTTGAATACACCATAAAGCGTTATGATATTCTTGCATGCTTGCAATTGTTTTAAAATGGCGACATCTTTTTCTACTTCTTTTAGTTCGACATCAGTGACGTACCCCATGTCCTTCTGAAAAGCTAGTTGGTGGTTCCAAACTACCGTCTTTAAATCCGATGCTATAGCGGAGTCGGTAAAACCAGCCGTATCCTGTTTGATAGTCTCTGCCTTCAAACTCACGGATGCCAATACGCTCTGTTCGACTTCGCCTGTTTTGATCGAGTTCTGCAGACGAACCACGAGTTCCGTTACTGTATCTAACTTACCATCAAGACCGACAATACCAGTTTGAACCATCTCCATGTATTTTTGCATTTGTTTAATATCATCGTTAATTATTGAAATATCTTTAGATATATCGGCAGTTGTATTCAAGCCGAGATCTTGAATGGCTTGGTCAAATCGATCAAGAAGTCCTGCAGCGTCTTCTTTCACCTATTGACCGACCAATTCGAAATTGATAGTATAGTTTATTGACACATACAGGAATTTCTCAATAATAAGGGCAGCTGTTTGCTTACAGTCATTGCTTTCCAGTATTTCTTAAAACCCTTCGCATCGGTGATTTTTTTAACAAATTCTTCAATATCTTTGAGAACCTAACCATAGCCAGATTTGATGCCTTAGAATTACCCGCTAAGCGCATATATCGACTATAGGATTTGCTTTTACCTTTGTATACGTAATTAATGCAGGATTGTGTTCCAACTCCTCTTTTTTATATTTTCCCAAAGTGTGCTGCGCGATAACGATTCTGTCTCTGAAGACATTACATGTCCGTACATTATGGTCCGCATTCTGAGCAATTGCTAAAACCGTCTCGAGTATTAAGAAAGTTTGCCCTAATATCGGAAAAGACCCAATATCTTGTATAACTCTGCCGTATTTTAGTACGGTCTCACACATAGTAAGGACGTTCTCGGCCATGTTTCTTGATATCAGCCGGCAAGGCTAAAATTACGGCTCAGTTCTACCTCCGCTATCTGTCGAGAATTTAAAGATTGCCTACGTGATACAGACTCGATGATGGTTTCACAATATTAGGAAGAACTGTGTTTTTAAGCTGGCTGATAATACGTGCAAACTTTAGCGTTTGCAGTGAATAAAAGTTCAAAGGCATCAAAACTTGGCTTCCACTTTCTAGCTTGTCAGCAAGGTTAATAGCATAAACATGGTACTCAGTGAGCACTCGCTACGTACGATTTCTATCAAAAAAAAAAAAACCTACCCCAACGGTAAAAACAATGTCAACATAACTCTGTCTCTTATTGGTTCCACTCTATCTAAATCAGGACCATCATTATGCCAAGATATGGTGGAAAATTGTGCTGATGACGGTATAACACGGAAAACGTCGCTAATTATTCATTTTGAAGCGGTTACACTAGACAAAGAATGAAAGAAATCCTTTGTTATTGTGTCGGTATGCCATTGTCCATCTGCATCGAGTTGGGCTGTGTCAGTTGTCCCCTGATTGGCTGATCATGCGATGTGCATAATGTGAGATCAAACCTTTATTGTCATAAATTCTTTCGTTGTTCATTACATTAGGCATGGTGCTGGCACTTCCCAATGAAATCATACAGTCTATTTTATTCTGGTTGAAGGAAAGTCCCGAAATTGGATTCAAATTACACACGATATTTTATCAATGTGCTCTTATAAGCAAAGCATGGAATGTGAATACAACTCCCCTGCTTTATTCTCGTCCTTTTGTCGCTGAAGGAGAACGCAAATATCTCATCATTACGGCATTGTTATCTTCTCTTGATACAAAGCATAGAACATTCCTTGAGGCAAATAATGTTAATGTTTCCTGTCTTTACTCACGTCCATTGTACAAATATTTATCATTCATCAAACATTTGGACATTGATGAGATGTTTAGCTGTGTACGTAATTGGTATATTTGGACAGACCAGCATGGTGCCGAGTCAAATATTAAACATACGGTTCTTACTACGATTCACGAGATCATGATGGATCTGAACGTACGCTTGGAGACTTTGTATATGACAGATGATTGTGAATTTGCGCTTAATGCGTTAATAGAATACAAGGACCTTTTTCGACACACTAAAACACTTAACATGCAAGCATGGAATTCTGGACACATTTTCAAAGAGCTCTCACAATCTGTCAACAATTTGGTATGTTATAATGTTTTTCTAGTTGCTTCAAGTTATACATTCTCCTTTTATAACTTATCATTTCTACAGGAAACTTTGAGAATAAAGATCGAATTGTACAAATCAGCTTCTGAATATATTGCACTATTGTTTCGCTCATTACCATTGTTGAAAACGGTCACCCTGGTAAATTCTGAGTACTACGTTGAAAGCGTCTGTGGTTGGCTGATGGATCATCCAACTTTGCGAGAATTTCATGCAATTCTTCTTGAAGTCAATATAGAAGCTTTGAGGAAACTTTTAACATGTAAGGCATTAAACTGTCTGAAGTTAGAATTTTGCAAGGAAATGAGTGGGGAGGCGCAACTATACTTGCAACAAAAGGGATTCATGTGTGAAGATACTGGACATTTAATAATATGGAGTCAGAAAAAAAAAAGAGACTCTACAGGGCGGACGCGTGATTAATTAATACTTATTAAACGCTTAAAGAGACTTCGCGGACAAAGTTTACTGGAAACGGCAAATCGCGCAAATAGCGAATCCATTTCGCTGTAACATCTTAAAATTACCATCATTCATTGCATTGCATTGCAGCACAGTACTCTGTAAAGCAGATCTCCGTCTAATATGTAACCACATATTTTGCCGGATGGTATTGTTTCGAGTTGACGAATGCGTTTGCAGAGGTCATTATTTGCAGTCAGATGGTCCTATGTATCCAGAACGTGCTTGGTTTTCCGCTTCAAACGGATTTCTAGTGCCTTGGACTTTGTTGTTCTTTGCGTTCTTCTTGATGCGAATAGATTAGAATCAATAGATGTTATGTTTTAAAAAGACCCGTCGGCACATTTAGATTTGGATAGGAAATCGGTTCAATAACTCGAACGTTGGATTCTGTGGCCTTTTTTGATCTGAGCGTGTCGACTATTTAGTCGAATGATGCACGTTTTTACCCAATGTAGTATTAATGATTATTATAGAAGAGTTTTCATAATTAACTGGCCGCGACGTTGTCGAAGTTTATTACGTGTTAAGTTGACCGAACAGAATGTGATTGCTTTCTGCTCGGTGATTATCTTAAATTGTTGAGACAAAGTTTTTACGAAACTGATGTCTTTTTTATTTTCTTAATAATCCACAAATACACGAACGATATATAATCGTCACCTATTCCCTGGAATACTCTTAATCTCACTTTCTTCCTCTTCTAGCTCGTCAATCTCCTCATATTGTTCTTCAACACCTTCATCAGCAAGTTTAAGCTCATACTTTTTACCTCTTATTCCAAATATGCCCCAATTACTGAAGATACTGTCCCGTACGTCGTTCGCGTTTATATCTCTCTTTAAACTTCTGAATGGATTCTCTCCAGGTGTCAACAACCAGTCGTATTCAAGTTTTGTCTTACTACTTTCATTTATTTCTCCTTCTTCATCCACGGGCCACTCTTCGGCCTCTAAGGCTCTTACGTCATCAGCCATGTCCTTCGCATCATAACCGGTGATGAAAACTGCGCATTTAGTACCTAGAATCTTCTTCAGAGACTTTGCCCAGGACAGCTTGCCATCCGGTTGCCCAAATCCAGGACTGAATAAGAAGAACACGTCCATATACGGATCAAATGGATAAAGAGAGTCATGGTAGTCGTGATAGGTAAGATTACTCCAGCTGAAGGATAGGCGTTGATTGAGGTGTTGGGTAAATGGTTGAGTATGACGAGGAGGAAGAGCTTGCGGACCAATGAAATAAATATGGAAAGCGGTCATAGGAAAGAGATGCGAGAGTTGGAGGTATATATATGTAGGCAGGTAACCTTCAGCACGTGAACCAACGATGAATATGCGCACTATCTCGGCAGCACGAAGGTGCTTTATGTCTTTGTTTTCTTGTAATGGGTAAAGTGTACTTCGGAGAGCTGGTATCAGGATAAGTAAACGAATAATGAATAAACTGTTGAGATTACAAGTAATGCATTAGTGTACGAAAATAATAGAACATATAAATAACAATGTGACCGACCAAGCAGCGACTTTAATCCTTCGGATGTCAATCGATTTTTCAGGGTGAATGGTCCATGTTTGTGAAGAACTGAAGCTATAGTTATTGGGTAAGTCAATACTTTTGACACATTCCTCAATGATCTCTCGGAATCTGTAGCAGGAAAGTCACGAGTATATAAAAATACATCCCAATTTGCCATGTTAACCTCAATATCGTAAGGTTGAGCGCCTAACAAAACAGAGGTGCAAACGATTTATAATAATTATTGTTAATTAAATTCATTGATAACTGGTCTTTACAATGAACACATAACGAATTTGAGACGCGATACCCGGAAACTCGAACTCCCGCAAATTCTTATTATTCTTTAAATAATTCTCATCTTCAATGGATTCTCGTAAATAGGCGCGGACTTCCTCATCTGAAAGGGGTTCGTTTTGTGGTTTTTGTTTTAGAAAGGAAAAAATGGGTCGAACTAATGGTGGCAAAAATAAACCATACGTAAACCGTGTGCGGATATATCTGCTTGGGCGGAATGCGGGAAGAAGACGACTCGACATAGTGGCCAGAGAATTTTTGATGTATAAGATAAAAAATGTATCAAAATCGGGAGATCGGCCTATTCAATTGGCAATTGAAATCTATCACATGGACAAAAGCATATAACGTTAAACACGCTTAGGGTTGTCAAATCTTTGTCTTGGAACAATATTAACATGTTTCCGTCTAAAATAGCAGATTATACTCAAAGGATTGTGGTGATTGGTCTGGCAGGGCTAACAGGTATAATTAGACACTTCTGAGTGGATATGCCATCATTTAAAAAGTTATTTAGTTTATGTTCCTTTTAAGTCTGGACCATGTATGGTGCAACGATTTCCGCCATATCACGACTAGAAAAAGTGAAGCAATTGAAAACAAACGAAGAACTGGTAAGTTTTTTGAAAATCATAGTCGATAGACGGGCCTTATATTTACCTGGCGGTGTATTTCAGCAACAGATTAAAACGGATACGGGAACGCACGTTTCCGATAAGCCTTCATCATCTTCGCCATCGACAAATACGTAATGGGCTATTTTAATCGTTGCAAGCAGTGGGGCAGATGTCAATGCTCACATATAGTTATAATTCCACTGAAAGCCTTTTTCTTTGTGATATACAACACGATCAAAGCACAAGATAAAATATAATGTTGGCAGAGTGAATCAAATTTTAGTGCCACGCAGTTATATATCGTATATCTTTTGAATATTTTTGTTGTTATCTAATTTATTGGTTGCTAACGAGCTTGTTTAGAGAAAATAAAATAATGCAAATGACCAGCTAAGTCATTGTCTTCCTCATCAGAACGAAAATCTAATCTAAGCTGTTAGAACGATGAAGCAATGGCATTATATGGAATACATGAATATTGAATGTCTTAATTATTTGTATACCACTGACGATTGCAAAATCATAGTTTGTTTCTAGACATTATAACCGATGAGCGATCGTCTGCCGATGACCTCACCGATAAAGAAGAACCCAGCTACTTCTGCTGAGCGTACACCAATTCTCGCATAATCGTATAGACTTAGTGATTTAATATGCTTCCAATGTAGTGTCTTTTGAAGATAAGAACGTGCTTCTTCTATTTGCGCGAGACTTGGAGGTGAAAGGTCTTCCCTCTTCCAAACTTCCTTTACCAGTTCTCTCACGACTGCAGCATTGTAGAGGATGGGTTTTCTAAGAGCTATTGACATCAAGCATTAGTGTTAAACAATCAATAACTCATACCGGGCAGAAAATTATTCAGTCGACAAAACACCTCCAGCGACATTTATAACGGAATTTTACCTGCAATTTTTGTAGCCAAGTTTTGGACACCTTTTGTAACTTGTCCAGATTTTTCAGCAACAGCTGCAGTGGTAGATGCGAAGCGAACTTGTGAAAACCGGGTGCCTTGTGTCCGGCTGAGTCTGACACCTTTAAAGAATAATGAGGCCATTGGAAGATCGATAATATCTGGAATGCAAGGCAAATTTCTGTGGTTCAAAATTTTCTGTTTATTTATATTTAGGGATCACTAATTGGTGCTATTCCGATGATGATCACCCGCACAATTTCGTCTCGAAAACAAAAAACTTTTTATGTCAATACTTTTAAAAGGCAAGCTGTTGTGATTTTTGGAGACAAAAGATTTTATAGATGAATAGTATATTCTCTAGTAGAGAGTAACTACAGTAGATCATGTGAAATTATTATTATTCGTTACAAATAATTACTTTGTATCACCACATGGGTAACACGGAGCATTCATGCCCAAATAGTAAATATCCTCCCCCGTCTTGTCTGGTAATGTTTATCGAACATGTCTCTAGGTCAATTATCCGAGAAAGACTGGCTCGACAAGAGCATTGACGAAGGCTTTATTAGATGCTATTCTGAAAGTGATATCGTTGATCGCAAGTTGCTTACTCATGGCGGATATGGATTAGTTCATAAAGCAACGTTAAAACATATTGGAATAGCAATTGCAATGAAGACCCTGATTCCAGATACCGACGAAGAAACGTATTCAGAATTTGTCAACGAGGTTACTATTAATTGCTTGTGCTCGTGTTGTATTTTTTGTCAATATTGGAGACTTTATTTTCGATTTCCATCACATTTAGTTGAGGATCCACAAACGGGTGGACGACCATCCAAACATAATTAGATTCCTGGGACTGTATCGCGGTATGATGTAAACGGAATGTGTATGTCATAATTATTGTCGATGATGCTTACATTTGACACGATTGATATATTTACCTCAGACGATGCCTATCATATGATTTTCGAGTTTGCCGACGGCGGAACCTTGCGCGATTATTTAAGGAAGAACTTTACTTCTCTTACGTGGAAAAATAAGTACACGTTGGGCTGGCAGATTGCCAATGGATTAATGTACTTGCATGAGCGGCAAATAATCCACAAGGACTTGGTACTGTGTCGATAAAATCGTTCTTATTTTAGTAAAATTTGCTAATTTTATTTCATTGCATTAGTCTTCCATGAACGTCCTTATCAAAGATGGCGTTGCGAAAATAACAGACTTTGGCTTGTCGAATGATCTGAAAAAGGTTGTGCTTACGTCAAAGGGAGCGGGCAATGCAGCATATATTGACCCATTAAGGCTTATAGATCCATCATATATTCGTGGAAAAGAATCTGATATCTTCAGTGTTGGGGTAATATTATGGGAGATTTCTAGTGGAGAGATTCCATACGCAGGCTATGATGACACTTATGTTGCCATAGAGAGATTCCACGGCCGTCGCCATCCAATTTTTCCTGGAACGCCTGAAGAGTACGTTCAGCTATATTCGAAATGTTGGCATCCAGAAGCTAATGTGCGGCCATCCTGTGAACAAGTGGTTAATCAATTAAAACTATTGGTTGAACAAGCAGTAGATGAAACATCAAATTTGAGCAACAATCAAATTGAAACTAGAGATGCAACAGATTCAGCAAAGTCCTTAGAACCAAAGCCTTCTCAGATTTTTCAGGATTTGTTTCAAAACAAAATTGGAGATACAAATGTGATGGCATTGGTAAAAGCTCTAGAATCAGATTCTCCTTTGACTTCTTTGAATCTTGTGTCTAGGAACATTGGAGACACTGGAGCAATAGCTTTAGCAAAGGTTTTGGAATCAAACTCCACTCTGACATCCCTATATCTTACAAATAATAATATTGGAGTGACTGGAGCATTAGCCTTAGCAAAGGTTCTGGAATCAAATTTTTTGTTGACGTTCTTGGATATAGGTGGCAATGATATTAGTGATGCCGGTGCAACAGCTTTGGCAAAAGTTCTAGGATTAAATACTGCTTTGACTTCTCTGAATCTTCATAGAAATAGAATTACAGCTGCAGGAGTAAAAGATTTAGCAAAGTCCTTGGAATTAAATTCATCACTACATTCTTTGGGCCTTGGGTATAATAAGATTGGAGAGATTGGCATAAGAGCCTTGGCAAGGACTCTGGAATTGAATGGCTCTCTGACATCCTTAAATCTTGATGCTACTGATATTGAAGATTCAGGAACAACAATTTTGGCCAAGGCTTTAGAAATTAATTCTACTCTAGCTTCATTGGAATTACAATGGAATGATATTGAAGATCTTGGTGCAATGGCTCTTGCAAATGCTCTTGCATCAAATTCTTCTTTGATCTCTTTAAATCTTGCTGAAAATCAGATCCAAGACTCAGGTGCCATAGCTTTATCAAAGGCTCTAGCATCAAATCATTCACTAGAGTCTTTGAATCTTGCTAGCAATCAGATTGGAGATGTGATTGCAATAAATTTAGGAAAGGCTTTAGAATCAAATAACTCCCTGCATTTTTTGAAACTTGTTGATAATGACATTGGAGATACAGGAGCAACAGCTTTGGCAAAAGCTTTAGCATCAAATTCTTCTTTGACCTCTTTAGATCTTGCTGTTAATCAGATTGGGGATGAAGGAGCAACAAACTTGTTTAAAGCTCTACAATCAAATTCATCCTTGACTTTTCTTGAGCTGAGTAAGAATATGGTTGGAGATACAAGTACAGCAATATTAGCAAATGCTCTTCAGTCAAATTCTTGCTTAACCTATTTGAGTTTGGAGTCTAATCAAATTAGAGTTATGGGTGCAACAACTTTAGCAAAGGCCTTTGAATTAAATTCCTCCTTGACCACTTTAGCTTTGTCATACAACAAAATTGGAGATGAGGGGATAACAGCCTTGGCAAAAGCTTTGAAATTGAATTCCTGTCTGACTACTTTGAGCCTTAATGGAGTTGACTTTGGAGATATAGGTGCAACAGCTTTAGCAGAAGCTTTAGAATCAAATGCCTGTCTGGCTTTTTTAAATATTGCTTCTAATCAAATTGGTGACAAAGGTGCAGCAGCTTTGGTGAAGGCATTAGAATCAAATTCCACATTGACTTCTTTGGATTTTTATAGGAATCCATTTGGAAGCATGAATGAAACAGCTTTGGCAAAGGCTTTGCAATCAAACCAAACTCCAATGAACTAGTTGTGTATTCAATGTTTTTTTACAAACTTAACAACAACAGTATAATATACCAATACAAAATTTATATGTTGGATTTATGTTATTATTTAAACTGTTAAGATTGACCTAAATTGTATTTTATTTTGAAACTGCCATTATTTATTATTACAGTTGAAAGCTGGTAGGTATTATTAGCAATAGTAATAGGTGATTAGCATGGATTTTTATTTTGATATACAAGGTATACAATATAAATATATTATTACTATTATTGGATAAATATTAAATTGTGCTAATATAAGCGTTCCGGAATTATAATAAATCAGACAAAATAGTATAAGTAATTGACAGAGAATTGATGAACAAATTTGATAGTAATGGTTTTAGCTGTCTTTATCAAACACACATTTGGTAATAGTAATAGTAAGCTATTCAAACCATCTATTAAATGTTACTTTGAAAATTCTGGCACATGTTATAGTTTCTGTAATAGTAATACTAATACTATGAGCATCAACCACCAATGCCACATTCAAGTTTCTTTAGTATTAGCTGATCTGGATGTAGATGTGCATTACACAACATGTTTATAGTTTAGTAGACCATTGAGGAACGCGATAATTTTCAACAAAATAAAAATACTCATGTTCTGTAAATAAGAAACTATTGCAAGGAACTTTTATTCCCAAAGTGCTCACTAACGCCCAGTTTAAGTACATGCAGAGGAAGAGAATATGATGATTTTATTGGGAAGGGGGTGGGAAATGTATTCTATTCCTTGTCAGTATAAGTATTAGTATTAATATTAATGGGAGATTGTATTCTGTCTGTTACTATTAGGGGAATCCAGTACCAGGGGGATAAGTGGGTCTAGTTGTGTATCTATTGTGTGGAGGAAGAGGAGACGTCCTAATAGTTGACAGTTGTGAGGGGGTTAAATAAGAAACAGTGTCTCTAATTTTAAAACCGAATTCCCAATAAATGGTTGTCCATAGGCCCACAAATTTTATATTTAATATTATAATAGTAATCCATTTGCAGACAATTCTAGAAGAAAATATAAATAGATGTCTTGTTAGTCAATGTACTTTGTAACATATTATCATGACGAAGGCAATTGATAACGCGAGACTTTTCTTCGGGCGTATCTGTTTCTCTCCACTGCGCAGCCAAGTCGGCCAGCAGATTTACCGAAATTACATAAAGAAGCCTTTTAATTAAGCCTTTATTACGTTTGTCAAGTGAAACAGACTTATCGAACCGTTGGACGGATTTTTAAAAAGAAAAAATAAACGTAGAAAAGATTTCAGCCGACTTAAGCGATGTTGTCATATTAATATGGTCCGGGTAAAAGTCGTGTGCGACTTTAATAACTATAACTTTTTTCAATTTTAGACGAGTGAATAACCATCTTTATATAGTACGTCACTTGTTTGAAACGTCTCTATTCCCGAGCCAGAGCCAGCGAAGTGCTGCTTCGTAATAACTGAAAAGACATGTGGAGTATCGGGATACAATGATATCGGCGCAGAAATATACTAATACAGTTATACGGATGATATTTCATTGTCAATTTCCCAGTTTGCAAAGTTCGTGTAAATGAAAAATAATTTCCTAGAAGCTGCATACTAGTACATTACTTTTACAGTTCGGTTAGAATGATATTTGCGCGCAAAGTTGGATGCCAACCTTTATTTAGTAAGATGGCTTTCTCGATATAGCAAACGCCTGTGCTTTTAGTCAAATTAAGACAATTCCGGCTACGCCATTCGACGTTAAAGCCGCAGTTATGTTTGGAGATAATATAAACGCGGTTGGGTTTTTTGAACGTAACTTGACTTCTCGCGCCGAATTTTCCAGAACACCATGGTGTGTAAAGAACTGCTAGCCTTTGACATTGACAATGTAGATAATTTGCGATGCAAATAACGAAGTTTTGAAATCCATTAGTCCAAAAAAGCTACAGCCTATGTCATTGATGTCTCACCGTCAATGTGGCAAGCGCCTACCGCGGATGATTCGCTTCCAATTGAATTAGCAAAGAAGGCTGTTGTAGGATTGCTTGATGTGAAAGTAATTCATCCACTTGATACGTCTTCTACAAAGCGGTTGCATCGTTTTCGTGAATTAACATTAACTCTGGCTGTGGATAAATCTTTACCATAGCTGTTAGCGAATGCTAAAACAGATATCACATCAGTTTTAGCTGTTGGGACAGATGGTAAGTTTACTATTGATAGGTCAACCTAGTGAGCCGTCGAACAGGCGTAACTCGCATGTTTTTTATGTAGATACTGATTACGGGCCGATTGAAGACTTTGATGAGGATTACGAACATATCAAAGTCATAACTGGGTTGGAAATGCCAACATTGGATTTACTACGCACGGTACAGCACCAACTTCCACAAGGAAATGCGCCTGGAAATTGTATGTTTTTATATGTACATGTGTCAAGCTAGTTGCTGAATTCTCACCGATTGTGAATGTGTTTGCTTCTTATAGGTCTTGATGGGATATCAGCAGCGATCGAGATAATTAAAAGACATTGCAGACATCTAAAGTACGAGAAAAAAATCTTTCTCATGACAGATGGAGAATCTCCAATGTCCAGCATACGACTACAGCAAATAGTTGATGAGCTAAGAAATAATGGAATTGAGATTTTTGTTCTGTTAGTATATCTTTCCTTTTACAAGACATGATAACATAATTACAAATATTCAGATACTCTAACAATTAATCAATTCTTTGTCAAAAGCGGTATCGGATTTAGTGATCCTGATGAGGATACAAATGATCCAAGCAAATCACAAACAAAAGTATGTCAAAGAACTCGGATTAGCTTCTACCATCTCTGATATTAATAATTTAATTAACAATCGACATAGCTTGCAAACGAAGATCTGTTCCGTGATCTCGTCAGTCGAGCTCCTGGGAGCAGTTATATCACCCCGATGGACAGCGCTTTGGAGGAAATTTCCCAACCGTATGTGCGTCCAGTCCGCCCAACTCCACTATATCGCGGAGCTCTCACCATTAGTAATAAAAACGAATATGGCGATTCGGCTCTGGGTGTTAATGTAACTATGTATGCCCGCACGAAAAAAGCCAGTCTCCCATCATTCAAGAAATGGTCTGTACTAGCTGAAAATGCGCAAGATAACCAACAGAAAACGCACGAGGTTTTGCGAACTTACTCGTATACTGTCTGGGATGATGAAAACGGTGTGGAAGTTCATGTTGACAAGGAAGATTTAATGAAAGCATATCCTTATGGAGCGACGCTGGTACCAGCTCAGAATTTTGATGAAGAGCAATTTAAGCTAGATACGAATATGGCTTTAGACATTCTTGGATTTGTTAGAGTTACTGAGGTGGAGTGTAAATTGTCATCATTCGTACTGATATAAGAGCATCTGCATATTGCTAACGTTATTCTTTTGAAATGCGTGAGTAGATAAACAAAGACTTATTTCTTGGTGAAACGCTATCGATAGTCCCTCAGAAAGAAGATCGCGCATCAGCACTTGCATTCTCTGCACTTGCACACGCCATGTATGAAAAGAATTTAATAGGATTGGCTAGATTTGTCAAAAGGATTCGCGGCCCTCCCGTAATGCTCGGCTTAATCCCACATATTACAGCCGAAAGAGAACTGATATATGGTTACATGGTAACTTCACCCTGTAGATGCATACGTCTTTTTAGGATTACAATTCGTTTTCCGTACTCTGATGACTCACGAGACATATTTAATAACAGCTGCCGTTTAACGAAGACATCCGTTATTACGAATTTCCTCCACTCGATCGAGTACAGAGTCAAAAGGGCGAAATCAGATCTGATCACCCCTTACTTCCCTCGCCCGAATTGTCTGACAAGATGCGACAGTTTATAGAGCAGATGGATCTTATGAATGTTCCCGATGAAGATGGGCAAGTTTAACGAGCTGTCTCGGAAAGGAATTATTGTTAATCAGACCCTAACTGACGTGAATTTTGACACTTAGAGAGCCGACGGAATATCTACACAAAAAGCAATTTAATCCAACAGCTGTTTTAATTAAAAAATCAGTCAACCATAGGGCGTTAAATCCGGGTGCTGAATTACCTCCTCCAGACGAATCAGTACTCTCTATTCTGAAACCACTACCGGACATGATTAATAGAAACCAATCGCTGGCAGATGAATTAGCCGAATTGTGTGATATAGTGAAAAGTATGTAGACATCAACAATCTGCATGTCTTTTGAAGACGCTTATATCGACAAGGTTTTGTGTTCATAATCCAGGTCAGGAGAAACAAAAAAGAAGTAGACGAGACCGCGGCGAGGAAGTAGAGGAGGAGGAAGTCGACATTGATGAACTCTTTGCACTTGCAAGTGATGAGCAGTCCAAACGAACGCGGCGAGAAGAAGGGTCGGGTAGTTCTATGACTGTAGGAAGGGAAGATCCGATAAGGGATTTCGAGGCGATGGTTGCTTATAGGGCCGAGGATTTAGTAACTACAGGTATAGTATTAAATAAATGTTTTGACGCAAAGTGAAGCTAGTTCATAAGTCTCCCTTTATTAATAGCCGTGGAACAGATGTGTGCCGTCATTAAGGAATTTATCTCTGGGGACGACTTGGAGAAGCATGCATTGGCATTAAACTGTATTAAAGTATTGCGAAATGCTTGCACAAAAGTAAGTTATGTTAATTAAGATCCAAGTTACCACGAAAGTTCTCAATCTTTAATATCGACCATATTGATACAGGAAAACGAATCCGATACATTCAATAATTTCCTTCGTGAACTACGGGACATCTGTTTACATGCTGAAGCTCCAAGAACAGATTTCTGGAATCAAATTCTTCAAGAACAAATCTCTTTAATTAGTACTGATGAAGCGATTGATAGTAGTACTTCAATCAATGAAGCTCAACAGGTAATTGGTTGACGTTTAGTTGTCATAACGTCTCTCGATATGTTTACAGCAAACTAATACGGTTCTGTATTTTGTAGTTCTTGCAATCCGCGTCTTCATCCCATCAGGATGTGGTACGTTAACACTGAGCGTTTTTTTATAACATCGAAGAGTATTATCGTTATTTACGCACAATCTTTTAGGAGATGTCAGACGTTTGAGCTCACGACTATTTTGCAGAATTAAGAAATTGAATAATGGCTAATTGCAAGACTTGCCAATAAAATGATGCTGTTTTCAACGGTGTAATTTTCGAAGACGATAATTGATGGAGCAAATGCAAAAATATTTACCGTAAATAGTGCTTGACATTAAATCTGTCACAATTCGCATCTATTCTCTAATGTTATCTCCCTTCACTGTCATCTTCTCCTTTATTTCATATATTTCTAACTCCTTATCGATAGTCTCTAATTTCTTCCTTAACAAAGCCTCATACTCCTCGTCACTCAGTTTTCTGACAGGAGTCCATTTCAATCGACTTAACTGATCAAACATTCGATCAACTATAGTACCCCCAACTTGATGTTCCGGCTCTGGTTGTGTTGGATTGACTCGCAAATCAGATGATGACATGCTCTCGAGAATGAGTCTTTGGCGATATCTATAAAGAAATGTGTATAACGTTTGGCCACATCCGCAGATGACTGAAAAGCCTACGGTGCCACGTAAAGCATACGTTGGACCTCCTAGAGAAGTG